CCCTCCTTCTTCCTTTCCTCCCTTCTTTTCTCTCCCTTCTCTCTCTCTCTCTTTTTCTCTCTCTTCTTCCTTCCCCTTCTTTTTCTTCCTCTCTCTCCCTCCCCCTTCTCTCTCTCTCCCCCTCCTTCTTCTCTCTCTTCTCTCCTTCCTCTCCTCTCTTCCTCTTTTTCCCCTCCTCTCCTCTCTCTCTCTCTTCCTCCCTTTCCCTTCCCTCCCCTCTTTCTTTTCCCTTCTTCCTTCTTTTTTCCTCTCTCTCCTTTTTTTCCTTCTCCTCTCTCCTCTCTCTCCTTCTTCTTCTTCCCTCTTCCCTTTTTCTTCTCCTCCTTCCTCTTCTTTTTCCTTTTCCTCCCCTCCTTCCTCTCTCCTTCCTTTCCCTTTTCCTTTTCTCTTTTTTCCTTCTTTCTCTCTCTCCTCTCCTCTTCTTTCTTTTCTTCTTCTCTCTTTTCTTTCTTCTCTCCCCCTCCCCCTCTCCTCTTCCTCTCTTCTTCTCTTTTCTCTTTTTCTCCTCCCCTCTTCTTTCTCCTTTCTTCTCCTCCCCTCTTCCTTCTTCTTCTTTTCTTCTTTTCCCTTCTTCCTTTCTTCTTCTTCTCTCTTCTCTTCTTCTCTCTCTTTTTCCCCTCTCTCTTTCTCCCTTCTTTTCTCTCTCCCTCTTTTTCCCTCTCTCTCTCTCTCCTTCTCTCCCCTCTTCTTCTCTCCTCTCTTCTTCCTCTTCCTTTTCTCTCTCTCCTCCTTCTCCTTCCTTCCTTCTTCTTTCCTTTTCTCTCCTTCTCTCTTCTTTTCTTTCCCCCTCTCTCCCTTTTTTCTCTCTTCTTTCCCTTCTTCCCTCTTCCCCCCCTCTCTCCCTCTTCTCTTCTCTCTTCTTCTTTCTTTCCTTCTCCTCCCTTTTTTTCCTCCTCTCTTCTCTTCCTTCTCTCTTTTTTTCTCTTCCTCTTCCTTCTTCTCCTCTCTTCTTTTTTTCTTCTCTTCCCCCTTTTCTTTTCTTTCCTTCTCTCCCTCCCTCCCCTCTCCTTTTCTCTCTCTTCTTTTTTTCCTTTTCTCTCCCTTTCTCTTTTTTCTTTTTCTTCTTTCTCTCTCTCCTCTTTCCTTCCTTTCTTTTTTTCTCTCTTTTTCTCTCTTTTCTCTCTCTCTTTTCCTCTTCTTTCCTTTCCCTCCCTTTCTTCCTTCTTTCTTTCTTCCCCCCTTTTTTCTCTCTCTTCTCTTCCTTTTCCTCTTCCCCTTCCTTCCTCTTTCTCTCTCTCCTTCCTCTCCTCTTCTCTTCTTTCTTCCTCTCCCCCTTTTTTTTCTCCTCTTTCTTTCTTTCTCTCTCCCCTCTCCTTCCTTCTTCTCTCTCTCCCTTCTTTTTCTCTTCTCTTCTCCTCCTTTTCTTTCTCTCTCTTTTCCTCTCCTTCTTCTTCTTTTTTCCTTTCCTCCTTCTCTTCCTCTCTCCCTCTTCTCCCTTTTTTTTCTTCTTTTCTTCTCCTTCTCTTCTCTCCTTCCCCTCCTTTCTTTCTTCCCCTTTCTCTCCTCTTTCTCTCTTTCCTTTTCTTCCCTCTCCCCCCCTCCCTCCTTTCTCTCTCTTCTTCCCTTCTTCTTCCTTCTTCCCTCCCTCCTTTTTTTTCCTTTTCTCTCTTCTCTTCTTTTTTTTTTTTTTTTTTTTTCTCCTTTTTTTTTCCTTTCTTCTCCCTCCTTCTCCTTCCCCCTTCTCTCTTTCCCTTTTTTTTTCCCCCTTCCTCTCTTTTCTTCTCTCTTTTTCTCTCCTTTCTTCCTCTCTTTCCTTTTTTTTTCCCCTTCTCTCCTTCTTTTTTTCTTCTCCCTCTCTTCTCCTCTCTCTTTTTTTTCCTTTCTCTCTCTCCTCCCTCCTTTTCCCTTTTCTCTTTTTTTTCCTTTCTCCTTCCCTTTCCTTCTCTTCTTTTTCTCTTCTTTCTCTCTTCTCTCTCTCCTTCTTTCCTCTTTTCTTCTTCTTCTCTCTCCTTTTTTTTTCTCTCTCTTCTTTTTTCCTCCCCTCTTCCCCTCTCTCTTCTTCCCCCTCTTTTTTTCTTCCCTCTTTTTCTCTTTCTTCTTTCTCTTCTCTTCCTCTCCTTCCCTCTCTTCCTCTTTCTTCTTTTCTTCCCTCCTTTTCTCTTTCTTCTTTCTCCCTTTTTCCTTCTCTTTTCTCTCTTCTCTTCTCTCTTTTTCTTTTCCTCCTTTTCTTCTTTTTTCCTCCTCTTCTTTTCCCCCTTTCCCCTTTCTTTTTCTTTCTCTCTTTTCTTCTTTTTTTCCCTTTCCCCCTTTTTCTTCCTTTCCTTCTCTCTTCCTCTTTCCTCTTCTTCTCTCTTCCTCTCTCCCTCTCTCTCTTCCTCTCTTTCTCCTCCTTTCCTTTTTCTCTCCCTCTCCTCTTTCCTCCTTCTCTTTTTTCTTCTTTTTTTTTTCTTCTCCCTCTCTCTCTCCCCCCTCTCTCTTCCTTTTTCTTTTTTCTCCTTCTCTCCTCTTCCTCTCTCTCCTTCTCTTCTTCCTTTCTTTCCCTCTTTTTCTTCTTTCCCTTTCCCTTCCCCTCTCTCCTTCTTTTTCCTTTCTCCCTTCTTTTTTTCTCTTCCTTTCCTCTCTTCTTTCTTCTCCTTTCCCTCCCTTTTCTCTCTCTCCTTTTTTTTCCCTCTCTTCTCTCTTTCCCCCCCTCTCTTTTTCTCTCTCTTTTTTTTTTTCTCCTCTCTTCTTTTTCTCTTTTTTTCTCCCCCTCTTTTCTTTCCTTCTTTTTTCTTTTCTTTTTTCTTCTCCCCCCCTCCTTTCCTTTTTCTCTTCTTCCTCTTCTTTCCTCCTCTTCCCCTTCTTCTCTTTTCTCTTTTTTCCTCTCTTCTCTCTCTCTCTTTCTCTTCCTTCTTCCTTTTTCTTCTTTTTCTTTCTTCTCTCTCTCTTTCTTTTCTTTCTTCCTCTTTTTCTCTTCTTTTTCCCTCTCCCTTTTTCTTCTTTCTCTCTTTCTCTTTCTTTTTCCTTCCCTCTCTTTTTCTCCTCTCTTTCCTCTCTTTCTTCCTCTCTCTCTTTTCTCTCTCCTCTTCTTTTTTTCTCTTCTTCTTCTCTCCTTTTTTTTTTTTTCCTCTTTCCTCTTTTTCCTCTTTCTCTCCTTCTCTTCCTCTTCCCCTTTTCTTCTTTTCTCCTTTTCTTTTCCTTTTCCTTCTTCTTCTCTTTCTTTCCCCCTTTCCTCCTTTTTTTTTCCTTCTTTTTTTTTTTTTTCTTTTCTTCTTTCTCTCTCCTTCCTTCCCTCTTCTTTTTCTCTTTTCTCTTCTCTTCTCTTTTTTCTTCTTTTTTCTTCCTTCTTTTCTTTTTCTCTTCTCCCTCTTTTTTTTTCCTTCCCCCTTCTTCCTTTTTTCTCTCTCTCCTTCTTCTTTTTCTTTCTCTTCTCCCCTTTTCTTTCTTCCTTCCTCTTCTTTTCTTTTTTTTTTTTTTCCTCTTCTCTCTTTCTTCTTCTCTCTTTCTCTCTTTTCCCCTTCTTCTTTTTCTTCCTTCTTTCTTCTCTTCTTCTCTTTCCTTTTTCCTTCTCCTTTTTTTCCTTCTCTCTCTTCTTTTTCTTTTTTCTCTTTTTTTTTTTCTTTCTCTTCTCTCCCCTTTCTCCCCTTCTCTCTTTTCTCTTCTTCCCTTTTTTTCTTTCTTTTCTCTTTCTTTTTTCTTTTCTTCTTTTTCCCTTCCTCTCTCTCTCTCTCTCTTCTCTCTCTCCTTTTCTTCTCCTTTTTTTTCTTCTTCTTTTTCTCTTTCTCTTTTCTTTTTTCCTCCTTCTTTTTCTTCTTCCTTCTTTCTCTTCTTTTTTTTCCCCTTTCCTCTTTTTTTCCTCTTCTCCTCTCTTTTCCCTTTCTTTTCTTCTTCTCTCTTCTCTCTTTTCTCTTCCCTTCCTCTTCTTCTTTCCTCTCTTCTTTTCTCCTTTTCCCCCTCTCTTCTTTCCTCTTCTTTTTCCCTTCTTCTCTTTTCCTCCTTCTTCTTCCTTTTCTCTTTTCTTCTTCTTCTTCTTTCTTTCTCTTCCTTTCTCTCTCTCTTCTTTCTTTTTTTCCCCTTCTCTTCCTTCTTCTCCTCTCTTTTTTCTTCCCTCTTTTTTCTTCTCTCTTTTTTTTCCCCCCTCTTTTTTCTTTTTTTCCTTTCCCCCCTCTTTTTTTTCTCTTTTCTTTTTTCTTTTCTTCTTTTCTTCCTTCTTCCTTTTTCTTCTCCTTCTCTCTTCCTTTTTCCCTTTTCCTCCTTCCTTCTTTCTTCTCTCTTTCCTTTCCTTCTTTCCTCTCTTTTCTTTTTTTCTCTCTCTTTTTTTCCCTCTTCCTTTTTCTTTTTTCTCTTTTTTTTTTCTCTCTTTTTCTTCCCTTTTTCCCCCTTTCCTTTTTTTTCCTTCCTTTCTCCTTTCTTTTTTTTCTTTTCTCTCCTTTCTTTCTTTTTTTTTCTCTTTTTTTTTTTTTTTCTTCTCTCTCTTCTCTCTCCCTCTCTTTTCTTTTTTTTTCCTTTTCTTTCTCTTCTTCTTCCCTTCTCTTCTTCTTTTCTTCTTCTTTTTTTCTTTTCTCCTTCTTCTTCTTTCTTTTTCCTCTTTCTCTCTTCTTTCCTCTTTTTTCCCTTCTCTCTTTTTTTTTTCCTCTCTTCCCTCTTTCCTTTCTTTCTTTCTTCTCCTCTCTCTTTTCTCTTTTTCTCTTTTTTCCTCCCCTTCTTTTCTTTCTTTTTTCTTTTCTTTCCTCTTCTTTCTTTCTTTTTTCTCTCTTCTCCCTCTCCTCTTTTTCTCTTTCCTCTTTTCCTTTCCTCTTCTCTCTTTTTCCCCTTTCTCCTTTTCTCTCTCCTTTTCCTCTCTCGTCTTCTTCTTCTTTTCCTTTTCTTTCTTCCTCTCTCCTCTTTTCTCTCTTCCTCCCCTCCTTTTTCTCTTCTTTTTTCCTCTTTTTTCTCTCTGACGCTCTCTCGGTCTCCTCCCCTTCCAGCTGTCTCTCTCTGACCACCTTGCTTTCTCCGGCTCTCTCCGCTCGCCCGTCTCCCCGCCTGTCTCCTCCACCTCTCTTCTCTCCCTCCGTCCCCTCCCCCTCCCGGATTTTATTTGTTCGCGGCGGAACTCATCGCCCGGCTGGAGAAGGTTAAACAGGAACAAGAAACCATGAACACGCTGGAGGAGCGGCTGCAGAAGGATCAAAGAGGTACGAAGATCAAAGAGGTCCCCAGTCCCCCCACCCCTCCCGCTCCCCATGTCCCCACCATCCCGCTCCCCATGTCCCACCATCCCGCTCCCCATGTCCCACCATCCCGCTCCCCATGACCCACCATCCCGCTCCCCATGTCCCCACCATCCCGCTCCCCATGTCCCACCATCCCGCTCCCCATGACCCACCATCCCGCTCCCCATGTCCCACCATCCCGCTCCCCCATGACCCACCATCCCGCTCCCCATGACCACCATCCCGCTCCCCATGTCCCACCATCCCGCTCCCCATGTCCCCACCATCCCACCATCCCGCTCCCCATGTCCCACCATCCCGCTCCCCATGACCATGTCCCACCATCCCGCTCCCCATGACCCACCATCCCGCTCCCCATGCTCCCCATGACCCACCATCCCGCTCCCCATGTCCCACCATCCCGCTCCCCATGTCCCACCATCCCGCTCCCCATGACCCACCATCCCGCTCCCCATGACCCCCATCCCGCTCCCCATGACCCACCATCCCGCTCCCCATGACCCACCATCCCGCCCCTCCCCCATGTCCCCATGTCCCACCATCCCGCTCCCCATGTCCCACCATCCCGCTCCCCATGTCCCACCATCCCGCTCCCCTCCCATGTCCACCATCCCGCTCCCCATGACCCACCATCCCGCTCCCCATGACCCACCATCCCGCTCCCCATGTCCCACCATCCCGCTCCCCATGTCCCACCATCCCGTCTCCCCCATGTCCCACCATCCCGCTCCCCATGTCCCACCATCCCGCTCCCCATGTCCCACCATCCCCCATGCTCCCCATGTCCCCCCACCATCCCGCTCCCCATGTCCACCACCATCCCGCTCCCCATGTCCCCACCCATCCCGCTCCCCATGTCCCACCATCCCGCCGCCCCCATGTCCCACCATCCCGCTCCCCATGTCCCACCATCCCCGCTCCCCATGTCCCACCATCCCGCTCCCCATGTCCCACCATCCCCGTCCCCCATGTCCCACCCATCCCCGCTCCCCATGTCCCACCATCCCGCTCCCCATGTCCCACCATCCCCCCCTATCACTGCCGGGACCCCATGGTCCCCGTCTTCCTCCCCTCCCAAGTCCCCCATGGTCCCATCGTGTCCCCATCCCCCTTCCCCAGTCCCACCCCTCTGTCCCCCTCCCCATGTCCCATACCATGGTCCCCATGTCCACCATCCCGTTCAACCCCATGTGTCTTCCCCACCATATCCCGCTCCCATGTGACCCCACCATCGTGTAGTGACGTATACCCCATGGTCCCGTGTAGTGACGTATGCCCCCCATGGTCCCTTGTAGTGACGTATACCCCATGGTCCCGTATACCCCATGGTCCCGTGTAGTGACGTATACCCCATGTCCCGTGTAGTGACGTATACCCCATGGTCCCATTGTAGTGACGTATACCCCCCCCCGTTTACCCTGGTCCCGTGTAGTGACGTATACCCATGGTCCCCGTAGTGACGTATACCCCATGGTCCCCAGTGACGTATACCCCATGGTCCCCTGTAGTGACGTATACCCCATGGTCCCGTGTAGTGACGTATACCCCATGGTCCCGTGTAGTGACGTAGTGAGTGACGTATACCCCATGGTCCCGTTGTAGTGACGTTATACCCCCATGGTCCCGTGTAGTGACGTATACCCCATGGTCCCGTGTAGTGTAGTAGTGACGTATACCCCATCCCAGTCCCGTGTAGTGACGTATACCCCCTTGTAGTGACGTATACCCCATGGTCCCGTGTAGTGACGTATACCCCATGGTCCCTTGTAGTGACGTATACCCCATGGTCCCGTTGTAGTGACGTATACCCCATGGTCCCGTGTAGTGACGTATACCCCATGGTCCCGTTGTAGTGACGTATACCCCATGGTCCCGTGTAGTGACGTATACCCCATGGTCCCGTGTAGTGACGTATACCCCATGGTCCCTTGTAGTGACGTATACCCCATGGTCCCGTGTAGTGACGTATACCCCATGGTCCCCCATGGTCCCGTGTAGTGACGTATACCCCATGGTCCCCGTGTAGTGACGTATACCCCATGGTCCCGTGTAGTGACGTATACCCCATGGTCCCTGTAGTGACGTATACCCCATGGTCCCGTTGTAGTGACGTATACCCCATGGTCCCGTGTAGTGACGTATACCCCCCCATGGTCCCGTGTAGTGACGTATACCCCATGGTCCCGTGTAGTGACGTATACCCCATGGTCCCGTGTAGTGACGTATACCCCATGGTCCCGTGTAGTGACGTATACCCCATGGTCCCGTGTAGTGACGTATACCCCATGGTCCCGTGTAGTGACGTATACCCCATGGTCCCGTGTAGTGACGTATACCCCCATGGTCCCCCATGGTCCCGTAGTGACGTATACCCCATGGTCCCGTGTAGTGACGTATACCCCATGGTCCCGTGTAGTGACGTATACCCCATGGTCCCGTGTAGTGACGTATACCCCATGGTCCCGTGTAGTGACGTATACCCCATGGTCCCCGTATACCCCATGGTCCCGTGTAGTGACGTATACCCCATGGTCCCGTGTAGTGACGTATACCCCATGTTAGTCCCGTGGTGTAGTGACGTATACCCCATGGTCCCGTTGTAGTGACGTATACCCCATGGTCCCGTGTAGTGACGTATACCCCATGGTCCCGTGTAGTGACGTATACCCCATGGTCCCGTGTAGTGACGTATACCCCATGGTCCCGTGTAGTGACGTATACCCCATGGTCCCGTGTAGTGACGTATACCCCATGGTCCCGTGTAGTGACGTATACCCCATGGTCCCGTCCCGTGTAGTGACGTATACCCCATGGTCCCGTGTAGTGACGTATACCCCATGGTCCCTGTAGTGACGTATACCCCATGGTCCCCGTGTAGTGACGTATATACCCATGGTCCCGTGTAGTGACGTATACCCATGGTCCCGTGTAGTGACGTAGTGACGTATAGTGACCCCCCCATGGTCCCGTGTAGTGACGTATACCCCATGGTCCCGTGTAGTGACGTATACCCCATGGTCCCTTGTAGTGACGTATACCCCATGGTCCCGTGTAGTGACGTATACCCCATGGTCCCGTGTAGTGACGTATACCCCATGGTCCCGTGTAGTGACGTATACCCCATGGTCCCGTGTAGTGACGTATACCCCATGGTCCCGTGTAGTGACGTATACCCCATGGTCCCGTATAGTGACGTATACCCCATGGTCCCGTATAGTGACGTATACCCCATGGTCCCGTGTAGTGACGTATACCCCATGGTCCTGTGTCTTGACGTATCCCGTCCTGTGTCCCCCGTATGTATTGTCCTATCCCAGCACAGATATATAAAATGTTTTGCCCGGAGCAGTCCGCTTCCTCCCATGGTAGAGAGGAGGAGCCGCCATGCATATGAGTTGCTTAGTCCTAGTTTGGAGCACTCAGTGTACAAAAGTTGGGTGTTGGATTTGCTGAGTTTTTTGCAAAGTTTTGTAACCCGGAGCAGCCAATCCCCAGCCAGAGTTGACTGCCCTCCATAAAGCCATGGCTTCCCGCTCAGTGTTAGCGCTGTTGACCTTGTTGGCTTTCTGCATGTTAAGGGTTCAAGTTTTGTCCTCTTTCAGGAAGAAGAGCAAGAAGAATGTGAATCTCCCATCTGCTTCCAGCCCGCCCAGGACGCCTCTGTCCCATCTCATCAGCCGCTGGCTGTGTGTATCTTCCGCCCCTTGCGAGGATGACCCTCAAGCCATCTTAGATGACCACTTATCCCGAGTCCTCAAGACGCCCGGCTGCCAGTCCCCAGGCGTAGGCAGATCCCGCTCTCCCGACCGTTCTCGCCTTCTGCGGCCTTCACTACCAACTACAGCACTTTCAACTCCCTGTCCTCTGCTGGCCAAGAGCTTTGTCACCAAGCAGACCACCAAACACATCCATCACCACTATATCCACCACCACACCATGCTAAAGACGAAGGAGGAGATCGAGGCAGAGGCTGCCCACAGGGTGCACTGTCTATGTGCCGGATCCACCGACTACTGCTGCTATATGAGGAACCGGGCGAACACCAAGAGTGTGGACCTGTCCCTGCTACACGTGGACAGCACAGGGTAAGACACTAATCTTCTGTCTGTACCCTAAGGAGGTGTAGAATCCTCTCCCTGCCGTATCCAGCTGGTGACCCTCAAATAGACAAAATGTTCATCAGTAGAGGAGTTCACAATGGCCACTCTATGGTCTCGGCTCTGTCCACTCCATGCTATGCCACATCTCAGTGTTGCCACTTCTTACAGCTTTTCCTTCTTTCTTTTTTCTCAGCAGTCGGGCCGGAACCTTATCCAGAAGGAACTGCAAGACCATGTCAGAAATTTCGTTGGAGGGCATAGATGGTGCGACCATTATATACCAACTACCGATGGAAGGACACGTACCACCAACGTGGCAGCGGGTGGTGGAGTCCGAGACAGAGAGACCGTGCAAACACAGATCTCACAGGTACGACGTGGAGGTATTCCACTCTCCAGCTTGATGTGAAGGCCTACAAGCCTGGTCTATGCTGATCCCCATTATTCCTGGGGACCTCTGTGACAGGCCATGTGAGCCTCTAATTAGGATGGCTGGTGCCGTAGAATGTTCCCGTGACGTCATGTACTGACAATCCATGTGGAGGTTCCCGTTGTGTCATGTACTGACAATCGATGTGGAGGTTCCCGTTGTGTCATGTACTGACAATCGATGTGGAGGTTCCCGTGTGTCATGTACTGACAATCCATGTGGAGGTTCCTTTGTGTCATGTACTGACAATCCATGTGGAGGTTCCCGTTGTGTCATGTACGGACAATCGATGTGGAGGTTCCCGTTGTGTCATGTACTGACAATCCATGTGGAGGTTCCCGCTGTGTCATGTACTGACAATCCATGTGGAGGTTCCCGTTGTGTCATGTACTGACAATCGATGTGGAGGTTCCCGTTGTGTCATGTACTGACAATCGATGTGGAGGTTCCCGTTGTGTCATGTACTGACAATCGATGTGGAGGTTCCCGTTGTGTCATGTACTGACAATCGATGTGGAGGTTCCCGTTGTGTCATGTACTGACAATCGATGTGGAGGTTCCCGTTGTTGTGTCATGTACTGACAATCGATGTGGAGGTTCCCGTTGTGTCATGTACTGACAATCGATGTGGAGGTTCCCGTTGTGTCATGTACTGACAATCGATGTGGAGGTTCCCGTTGTGTCATGTACTGACAATCGATGTGGAGGTTCCCGTTGTGTCATGTACGGACAATCGATGTGGAGGTTCCCGTTGTGTCACGTACTGACAATCGATGTGGAGGTTCCCGTTGTGTCATGTACGGACAATCGATGTGGAGGTTCCCGTTGTGTCATGTACGGACAATCGATGTGGAGGTTCCTGTTGTGTCACGTACTGACAATCGATGTGGAGGTTCCCGTTGTGTCACGTACTGACAATCGATGTGGAGGTTCCCGTTGTGTCATGTACTGACAATCGATGTGGAGGTTCCCGTTGTGTCACGTACTGACAATCGATGTGGAGGTTCCCATGACGTCATGTACGGACAATCGATGTGGAGGTTCCCGTTGTGTCATGTACGGACAATCGATGTGGAGGTTCCCGTTGTGTCATGTACTGACAATCGATGTGGAGGTTCCCGTTGTGTCACGTACTGACAATCGATGTGGAGGTTCCCGTTGTGTCATGTACGGACAATCGATGTGGAGGTTCCCGTTGTGTCATGTACTGACAATCGATGTGGAGGTTCCCGTTGTGTCATGTACTGACAATCGATGTGGAGGTTCCCGTTGTGTCATGTACTGACAATCGATGTGGAGGTTCCCGTTGTGTCATGTACTGACAATCGATGTGGAGGTTCCCGTTGTGTCATGTACTGACAATCGATGTGGAGGTTCCCGTTGTGTCATGTTCATACACTGACCCTTGATGGCTCGTCATGTACGACAATCGATGTGGAGGTTCCCATGACGTCATGTACTGACAATCGATGTGGAGGTTCCCGTTGTGTCATGTACTGACAATCGATGTGGAGGTTCCCATGTGTCATGTACTGACAATCGATGTGGAGGTTCCCATGACGTCATGTACTGACAATCGATGTGGAGGTTCCCGTTGTGTCATGTACGGACAATCGATGTGGAGGTTCCCGTTGTGTCATGTACTGACAATCGATGTGGAGGTTCCCATGACGTCATGTACTGACAATCGATGTGGAGGTTCCCATGTGTCATGTACTGACAATCGATGTGGAGGTTCCCGTTGTGTCATGTACTGACAATCGATGTGGAGGTTCCCGTTGTGTCACGTACGGACAATCGATGTGGAGGTTCCCGTTGTGTCATGTACGGACAATCGATGTGGAGGTTCCCGTTGTGTCATGTACTGACAATCGATGTGGAGGTTCCCGTTGTGTCATGTACTGACAATCGATGTGGAGGTTCCCGTTGTGTCATGTACGGACAATCGATGTGGAGGTTCCCATGACGTCATGTACGGACAATCGATGTGGAGGTTCCCGTTGTGTCATGTACTGACAATCGATGTGGAGGTTCCTGTTGTGTCATGTACTGACAATCGATGTGGAGGTTCCCATTGTGTCATGTACGGACAATCGATGTGGAGGTTCCCGTTGTGTCATGTACTGACAATCGATGTGGAGGTTCCCGTTGTGTCATGTACGGACAATCGATGTGGAGGTTCCCGTTGTGTCATGTACTGACAATCGATGTGGAGGTTCCCGTTGTGTCATGTACTGACAATCCATGTGGAGGTTCCCGTTGTGTCACGTACTGACAATCGATGTGGAGGTTCCCGTGACGTCATGTACGGACAATCGATGTGGAGGTTCCCGTTGTGTCATGTACTGACAATCGATGTGGAGGTTCCCGTTGTGTCATGTACGGACAATCGATGTGGAGGTTCCCGTTGTGTCATGTACGGACAATCGATGTGGAGGTTCCCGTTGTGTCATGTACGGACAATCGATGTGGAGGTTCCCGTTGTGTCATGTACGGACAATCGATGTGGAGGTTCCTGTTGTGTCATGTACGGACAATCGATGTGGAGGTTCCCATGACGTCATGTACGGACAATCGATGTGGAGGTTCCCGTTGTGTCATGTACGGACAATCGATGTGGAGGTTCCCATGACGTCATGTACGGACAATCCATGTGGAGGTTCCCGTTGTGTCATGTACTGACAATCGATGTGGAGGTTCCCGTTGTGTCATGTACTGACAATCGATGTGGAGGTTCCCATGACGTCATGTACTGACAATCGATGTGGAGGTTCCCGTTGTGTCATGTACGGACAATCGATGTGGAGGTTCCCGTTGTGTCATGTACTGACAATCGATGTGGAGGTTCCCGTTGTGTCATGTACTGACAATCGATGTGGAGGTTCCCATGACGTCATGTACGACAATCGATGTGGAGGTTCCCGTTGTGTCATGTACTGACAATCGATGTGGAGGTTCCCATGACGTTCATGTACTGACAATCGATGTGGAGGTTCCCGTTGTGTCATGTACTGACAATCGATGTGGAGGTTCCGGTTGTGTCATGGCATACACTGACCCTTGATGGCTTCTTTTCAGTGTGCAGAGCACCAAGAGGAGTGCAGTGGCCTGTGAGACCCCTCGAGCGTCCTCGGCGGAGAGGCCGGCCCGCCATCATCAGTGGTTCAGTGGAGTCAGCCACCCTCGTCCATCCAGTCATCCTCTGGTCCAGGACTTGGCCGTGTCATCGCCCAGCACTCTGGCTCAGCTAGAAGAGGCCTGTCGAAGGTTGGCGGAGGTTTCCAGACCCTCAAAGCAAAGGTAAGAGCCACGGTTAGTCTGAGGCCCGGCCTCCGAAGCTGTCCAATGTCTCACTCAAATATGGCTTCCCTGGAGGGGAACGTCACTTCTCATGAATCTGGTACATCCCCTCCCCCGCGCTGACTTGTACTTGGAGAACGCCGCGATTTACAGGTGAGCAGGACGCCCACTTCAAAGCCGTCGCCTCATCTTTTTCCCCGCTGTCATGCTCTGCCCCCCCACGTCTCTCTCCTCTGCTCCGCCTTTATCAGGCCTCCGCGTGCGCGGCATCCAACTGTCAGCACTACCTGCTGCTGCTGCAGAATTTCCTGACATGAAACGCACAGCGTGAGCTTTCGCTTCTGTGCTGCGTGTGATTTTTCTTCCCATCTGCCCAGAAACTTTCTGTTTGCGTTCTTCATTTGCATTTTTTACAGCGAGGCGGCCAACATAAAAGCAGCAAGAGCGTAATAAACACAATGATAATATATATGTGCACAACGTACGTCCTGAGCCGCGAGGAGGCCAACTCCACCCCCCCCCCAGTCATGCAGATCACACCTCGGTTATGGGAAAGGTGTGGGGCTCAGGTTATCTTCCTAGACCTTGGTGACTGAGGAAATGAAGTTCGACTTCTGAATATAGAAAGGATTCTTTACTGTAAGAGCTGTGAGACTGTGGGAGCGTCTTCCTCAGGACCCGGCTGTAGCTGGAGGTGTTTGTAAATACACAACATACACATTATGAACACCAATCAGAAATCAAATTGTAGAGTGAGGATCCGGAATCTGATTGGACGTTGGGAGGGAACGGGTTCTTCTTGTCAGAGTAGGGATCTGATTGGCCGTCGGAAGGGAACGGGTTCTTCCTGTCAGAGTAGGGATCTGATTGGACGTCGGGAGGGAACGGGTTCTTCCTGTCAGAGTAGGGATCTGATTGGACGTCGGGAGGGAACGGGTTCTTCCTGTCAGAGTAGGGATCTGATTGGATGTCGGGAGGGAAGGGGTTCTTCCTGTCAGAGTATGGATATGATTGGCCATCAGGAGGGGACGGGTTCTTCCTTTCAGATTAAACACTTTATTGGTGTTTTTGCACCCTGTTTTTTTTTTTTTTTTTTTGCATCTTTTTCAACCAAACTCCAAAGTCCATTCTGTATGTGTCTTCCAGGTGCCCATCCAGCAGTCACCAGCGGAGTCACTCAGTGCCCTGCCAGCCGGGAACTTCCACCCCCCAGCATGAAGAGTGAGTATATCACTGTATAATCCTACCTCCATGACCATTAATATGGAGCTGCCCCTTCTCTTATGGCCATTAAATAAGGCGTTGGGCTCCTACCTCCTTGACCCCTAATAAGGAGTTGCCCCTTACTCTCCTGACCTTTATTCAGCAGCTACTCCTCCCCCTATGGCCATTAGTACAGAGGTGTTGTGTAGCCTTTCCTTCTACTTTAAAGGGCTAAAGGTCTGTGGAACCCTGACCATCACACCTCTCCATGACCATTAATGTGGGATTGCCCCACATGAACATATTGGACCCACCATGAACATTAATGTGGATTGCCCCCACATGAACATTAACATTAATTGGATTGCCCACCATGAACATTAATATTGGATTGCCCACCATGAACATTAATATTGGATTGCCCACCATGACCCCCCTTTGTGACTATAACATCTTCCATTCTTCTGGGAAGACTTTCCACAAGATTTTGCAGAGTATCTGTGGGACTTTGTGCTCCTTTTGTGAGGTCAGGTAGTTGTTGGATGAGAAGACCTTGGTCACACGTTGGACTTCACATTGGGCACCAAAAAACCCGACCTGGCTCATCATCTGCATTTTAATTTATCCCAAAGGTGTTTGGTAGGCTAGGGGTCACAAGGTTGGAAGAGTTTGTTTGATGTAGGACCGTTTAGTGGAGACACCACAATTCCATCATTTGTATATTTACACCTCTGCGGTGCTTCTTCCTGGAAAACATGGTATTTCCTGGTCTGGGAGGTGCTGCTGAACTGTGTGTGCAGAGAGGAACCAATCAGGACGATCTGTGGTGCAGACAGAGTTAAGCACCTCAATGAGTGTAATTACAGGGCCTTGATATCGTTATAACTAGGATTGAAGCTACAGCGGGGCTAATCGTGGCCTGAATAATTAACGCCGCTCCGCGTTGCCCTCTTCATCTTCTCAACGCCGCCAGCTTTGAAGTCCGGCCATCAGACACCTTTCATTTTTAATTGGCTGACCCAGGGACCCCCAGCTGCCTCCACAGAGAAGACTATGTATTTTTTATCTTCTTCGAGATGGAAGTACATCTGTCCGTATGTCAGATTCTTCCCTGGGGACAGGGAAAATGCTTCCTCCACTGTTTCAATTGGACCGGTTTGCACAGATTTTTGTAAAATAATTTTTCATTTCTTGATCTGTACATTATATGGCCCAAGATATATGACCCCCTCAACCAATGATGTAGTTCAGGTGTCTCCAGTGAAGGCTCCTGGTGATACTCCATCATACAAAGACATTGGAGACAATTGTGCTCTTCCAGCCTTGTGGTAACAGTTTGGTGAAGACCCTTTTCTGTTCCTCCATGACTGTCCCCTGTGCTCAAAGCCAGCTCCATAAAGACATGGATGACCAGCTTGGTGTGGAGGAACTCCAGTATCTTACACAAAGCCCCGACCTCAACCCTACTGAACATCAATGTGATGAATTGGATTGTGATTCAGGTCTTCTCATCCAACTTCAGTATTTGATCTCACAAATGGGCACAAATTGTAGGATGCCTTCCCAATAGTGTGCAGCCAGCTTCATAAAGACATGGTTTGAACAGTTTGGTGTGGAGAAACTCAAATGACCTGCACAGAGCTCCAACTTCAACCCTACTGACCACCTTTGAGATTAATTGGAACGTCGATGGTGAGCCAGGTCTTCTCATCCAACATCAGTACCTCACCTCACAAATGGGCTCAAATTCCCAAAAGACACTCTTCAAGATCTTGTGGAAAGTCTTCGTAGAAGAGTGGAGGATGTTCTAGTCACAAAGGGGGCAACTCCATGTTAATGGGGGGGGGGGGGGCTCCATGTTAATGGGGGGGGGGGGGGGGGGGCCATCCAATATTAGTGGTCATGGGGGGCAACCCAATATTAGTAGCCATGGGGGGCAATCCAATATTAGTAGTTATGGGGGGTAATCCAATATTAGTAATTATGGGGGGGCAATCCATATTGGTGGTCATTGGGGAGCAATCCCATATTGGGGAACAATGCCATATTGGTAGTCATTGGGGAGCAATCCCATATTAGTGGTCATGGGGCAATCCCATAATAATGGTCATGAGGGTGTGCAATCCAAAATGAATGATCATGGAGAGGTGTGATGGTTGGGGTTCCACAGACTTTTAGCCGTTTAGTTAAAGCGAAAGGAACAGCTACACAACAACATACCTGGTAAATGTTCCTCCCCTGTTGCTTTCATACTATTGTAGACATTTTCTACTCCATTGCCAAGTAAATATGGTTTTCTTTGGTTTTTCTATGTGGTCACGGTACCACAAAGCACAGATGCTGTCCCTTTTCTCTGACGTTTTGGTTGGCGGGCCTAAACGCTCTGCCCGCCAACAACGCCCTGTAGCTGTGGACACCATCTGTTGATGTCACTGCACTAAGGGATTCAAGAGCGTTGTTGGCCAGCAGAGCCGCATGAACCAACCTGAGTTTTGCCATCATGCGACCACCCAGAAGAACGTAGATTTAGATGAGGAATTAGTAGAAGATGTCTGCAGGAGTAGAAAGTAATGGGGTAGTAGCATTGAACAGGTATGTTGTTGTGTAGCCTTCCCTTGTGGTAAATCCTCCATAGAGTTTGTGAAGGCGATGTAGAACTGATCTTAGAACTTTCGGCCTCCTTTGGTCTACCATGGCAGTGAACACAGAGTGAGCTGTGAAGATTGTCAGGACATGGCTTAGTTTCCATCACCTGTATACACACAATATATCCATCCCTATAATCATTTGGTTTTTTTTTCACTTTCAGCCAAAAAGAACCAAAGAGACAGCCGGCCGCCCCTCCCCCTGGAGAGCTGACGGTGACATATTTCTTCTGTGGGGAGGAGATCCCATACCGGCGGATGCTGAAAACGCACAGCCTGACGTTGGGTCACTTCAAAGAGCAGCTCAGCAAAAAAGGAAATTATATAGGTACGAAGCCAGCACTATTCCCGTGTAAGGATTTCCCTCCGACAGTGTGAGTGCAACTTACCCAACCGTACCTCACCCCCCACCCACCATCACCAGACTCCACCTCCATACCCATCACTGATCAGCCCAAATAAAAACTGTCTGTGTTGCCCTACAGCAGGCATTCTTCTTGTTTTAGTGAAGCTTTCATTTGAATGGTTGATGTGGGGCAGCACAAACATTTCATATCTCTTTCTTGTTCTCATTTATACAGCACTGACCAGTTTGTGTTTTTACTGTGCATACTAAACAAGGAGATATCTAGTAGTAACTGGTCACATTCATCTGGGCTTCTTCTCTAATATTGAAAATGTCTCCAAACCGCTTCTTCAGTTCTAATGAGTGTCAGGAAGATTCCCCAGTATTTATATCCACACAGGTAGCACAGACACCTTAAAGCAATCACCATGGAATGTGCCAAGCTTGATGTTGAATTTGTCCTGTGTTGAGAGTCTTGACCTGTAGAATTTGCAGTCCTATGTTGAATTGTGACCTAGAATCTGTCCTCCTATGTTAAGTCTTGACCCGTAGAATCTGTCCTCCTATGTTGGGTTTTGACTTGCAGAACTTCTCCTCCTATGTTGGGTTTGACCTCTACAATCTGTCCTCCTATGTTGGGTCTTTACCTGTACAATATGTCTTCCTATGTTGGATTTTGACCTCTACAATCTGTCCTCTTATGTTGGGTGTTTACCTGTATGATATGTCCTTCTATGTTGAGTCTTGAGATGTAGAATCTGTCCTCCTATGTTGAGTTTGAATTGTAGAAATCTGTCCTCCTATGTTGGGTCTTGACTTGTGGAATCTGTCCTCCTATGTTGGATCTTGACTTGAGAATCTGTCCTCCTATGTTGGGTCTTGACTTGTAGAATCTGTCCTCCTATGTTGGGTCTTGACTTGTAGAATCTGTCCTCCTATGTTGGGTCTTGACTTGTAGAATCTGTCCTCCTATGTTGGATCTTGACTTGAAGAATCTGTCCTCCTATGTTGGGTCTTGACTTGTAGAATCTGTCCTCCTATGTTGGGTCTTGACTTGTAGAATCTGTCCTCCTATGTTGGGTCTTGACTTGTAGAATCTGTCCTCCTATGTTGGGTCTTGACTTGTAGAATCTGTCCTCCTATGTTGGGGGTCTTGACTTGTAGAATCTGTCCTCCCATGTTGGGACTTGACTTGTAGAATCTGTCCTCCTATGTTGGGTCTTGACTTGTAGAATCTGTCCTCCTATGTTGGGTCTTGACTTGTAGAATCTGTCCTCCTGGGTTGAGTCTTGACTTGTAGAATCTGTCCTCATATGTTGGGTCTTGACTTGTAGAATCTGTCCTTATATGTTGGGTCTTGACTTGTAGAATCTGTCCTCCTATGTTGGGACTTGACTTGTAGAATCTGCCTCCTTATGTTGGGTCTTGACTTGTAGAATCTGCCCTTATATGTTGGGTCTTGACTTGTAGAATCTGTCCTCCTATGTTGGGTCTTGACTTGTAGAATCTGTCCTCCTATGTTGGGTCTTGACTTGTAGAATCTGTCCTCCTATGTTGGGACTTGACTTGTAGAATCTGTCCTCCTATGTTGGGTCTTGACTTGTAGAATCTGTCCTTCTATGTTGGGTCTTGACTTGTAGAATCTGTCCTCCTATGTTGGGACTTGACTTGTAGAATCTGTCCTCCTATGTTAGGTCTTGACTTGTAGAATCTGTCCTCCTATGTTGGGTCTTGACTTGTAGAATCTGTCCTCCTATGGGTTGGGTCTTGACTTGTAGAATCTGTCCTCCTATGTTGGGTCTTGACTTGTAGAATCTGTCCTCCTATGTTGGGTCTTGACTTGTAGAATCTGTCCTCCTATGTTGGGTCTTGACTTGTAGAATCTGTCCTTATATGTTGGGACTTGACTTGTAGAATCTGTCCTCCTGTGTTGGGTCTTGACTTGTAGAATCTGTCCTCCTGTGTTGGGTCTTGACTTGTAGAATCTGTCCTCCTGTGTTGGGTCTTGACTTGTAGAATCTGTCCTCCTGTGTTGGGTCTTGACTTGTAGAATCTGTCCCTCCTGTGTTGGGTCTTGACTTGTAGAATCTGTCCTCCTGTGTTGGGACTTGACTTGTAGAATCTGTCCTCCTGTGTTGGGTCTTGACTTGTAGAATATGTTTCCCTATATTTGTTTGTTGAGAGGTTGCATCATCTCCCCAGTGTATAGATCTTTGCGCTCCTTCCTTCACTGCACTGCATATACAAAGGTACTTTCCTTGTGTTTTAGCGTTGGGTCTTTCGGATGTACAAGCTTCTCTCTCGGTGTTTTGCTGGACTTTTCGGACACAGAGAGGGGATGTTTCCTAAAGTCCCTTCTGAGTTTTCCCAACACTCCATCTATGTACAGGATGAATATATTAGCTGTGTATTCTGCTTCTATCCTCTGTTTATGGTGATGTTTTTATTGACGTTGTGGCTGTTTTATTGAAAGCCTCCTGGTCTGGGTATCAAAACTTTCCAAGCCCCCCTGAGATAAATGTCTTCTTTTTTGTGCTCCAGTGATTGGTGGGAGTCCTTGACATGTAAAACAGCCCAGAAATGGTAATACGTTATCCTGTGTCTCTTCTTATGTAATCTTCTTGTTAAGGTCCATTGGGTTTCCTCTTCACTGAAAGCCTGTATTTTGTGAAGGTCCAGCAAGGAACATGCTTGGTCAAATGTTGTGTCTTGTTTCAAATGTCTCCTTCATCTGTCCATACACTGATGAAAACCCAGAAGGTCCAGCAGGGACCGGACAAACCTTGTGTGGGTTCCCCCTCTTCACAGCAGTCGGGTGTTGAAATGACGTGCTGGAAAATATTCAGTCAGTCAGCAGCTGCAGCCATTGATCAGTGTATCCTGAGAGCAGTGGGTGATGGAACACAATGTCCAAGCGGGAGGGATTCCTCCATCCACCTTGTTTGTGTGGATGGAGGCATTTGGGTTTTTTTTCATTCAGTCCGCATCCCTGTGCTGAGTTCCGGGGTCTGTACACCCGCTGCGCCCATTATGAGGGGTTCCCACCATCTCTGTGCTGAGTTCCCGGGTCTGTACACCCGCTGTGCCCATTATGAGAGGTTCCCACCATCCCTGTGCTGAGTTACGGGATCTGTACATCCGCTGTGCCCATTATGAGGGGTTCCCACCATCCCTGTGCTGAGTTCCTGGGTCTGTACACCCGCTGTGCCCATTATGAGGGGTTCCCATCATCCCTGTGCCCATTATGAGGGGTTACCACCATCCCTGTGCCGAGTACCCAGGTCTATACACCTGATGTGCTCATTATGAGGTTGTCCCACCATCCCTGAGGGATTTGATGTTTTTGTTATGGAGAATATAACAGGAGGAGCCAGATTGCCCCAAGGTGGGAGGAGACACAATAGAACCACGATGGGAGATCTCACCCCGGAGTCTCCTTTCAGTAGATTTTACCCATAAAACAAAATTGAACTTTGAATAGATTGAGCCTTCTGATTGGTTGCTGTGGGTTCCCGCCTCCTCTGGGAATTCCATTTGCAGCTTCTGTGGATGTTTTGGGGATTTGCTGGACTTGGAAGCTTTCAGCACATGGGCACTGGTCAGTATTCACAGGAGAGAAAATAGTGACCATACCAGGCCATGGCGGCCATTACTGAGGTTTGGCTTCAGGCTCCGCCTTATTTCAGAGTGTTTCGGAAGATGCCGTCTTGGCTCCCCCGGGACATCTCAGCCGGTGTGTCTGTTCCCAGCAAACCCTCACCTGAGATGACGATCAATACGTAATACGCACAGCCTTGTTCCCCTTGTGCTTGGACAGGCTCTTGAACAACCCAGCCGTGCCCTCAGAATGCCCGGAACGTGGCTCATATGGCCGTTACATTCTGTGTACTCCGCTGTGGCAACGAGCCAATCTATAACTGTCTATTTGTGACAAGGGGGTGCTTGCAGAGCCGGGGCAACCATTACACAAGCAAAGGTGGAACCCCATTGTGGGAGGATCTCTTCCTACCATAGACTTTTCTGGAAGGTTCCACCTGTCTAATATTTCTAAGTATTGATCCTGGATTAATGTTTGGATATTATGGGCTGTGAAATGTTCCCTGTCCTTCAATGTCTCTGTTCTTCTCACCTGCAGGTATTACTTTAAGAAGGCCAGCCAGGAATTTGAGTGTGGCGCAGTCTTCGAGGAGATCCGCGATGATGACACCCTCCTCCCCACCTATGAAGGCAGGGTGTTGGGTAAGGTGGAGCGCATCGACTGACCTCTGCGGCCACATGGCCTGATCCGTGGCTTGGGAAGAGGAACATAGAATGGCGTCTGGTGAAGGTGCGATCCCGCGCCTCCGAGAAGTGACTTTAGCATGGTGGACAAGGAAGATGGCGGAGTAGGGGAGACAGATCTGTGAAGATAAAATGTACTTTCGGTTATTTATTGTATGGGAAGAGAGAACCACTATGAGCACTGCCTGGAAACTATGGAGGAGCTCCTGGAAAATGTTCACGGTGGATGGAGCGGCGTACAGCCATGAGTTTGATATTTATTGACCTGGCGGAGCTTGTTGTGACCTTTTGCTGCTTATCGATCAGGAGAGACTGTGACGCTCCGCCATGATCTGCTCAAACGCTGGGTGGAGAGCTGTGGGAGGCAAACGCTGCTCCTGGTTCTTCCATTGATGAAGGTTGTGGGGTATTTTGGGGCATCACTCTAGTGATCATTGGAGCGCTTGCCTGCTCCTGCGTTGCCTCCTCCTGCCTTGACGCTCCATCTTGGAGGAAGTAGCGGTGTAGTAGCAGGCGACGCTCTCTGCCGCTAGTGTGATAGGAGCCTTGGTGTGCCATGGTGGGGTTGTTGGAGGGTTGACCTTCAGGATCTTAGAACTTTATTTCAAGGAACACAGAACCACAGAACCCTTCCACAACCTCCCATCTGTACCGTTGGCCGTATATGAGAAAGGAGTGGCTTAGCTGGGTGTGGCTCCATTGGTAGTGGATGGTATCCTGAATGTGA